ATAGCAACTTTGGAAACAGCGGTTTCTAAGAGTGAACTTACGATATAAACATACATTTAAATGTGGAATACCAACCATTTCGCTAGGTTCTCTTTTTGTTTTCGTCCATTAAAAAACATATTTATTGATACAAGCAATTTTCCGGACGGGGGAGGCTACCGGCCAAGAAGCTACAGTAATGCATAGAAACAGGGAAATTTGGGGGTGGTAGCAAAGACGGTGATGGTAGTGGTGGTGGTACTGATGGTGGTGATTGGTGGCGGTGGTGGTAGTTAGTGGTGGTGGTGGTGGTTGTGGTGGTGAATGGTGCTGGTGATTGGTGGTGGTGATGGTTGATGGTGGCTGGTGGTGGTTGTGGTGGTGGTCATTGGTGATGTTGGTGGTTGTGGTGATTGGTGGTGGTGGTGTTGGTTGGTGGTGGTGGTTGGTGGTGATGCTGGTGGTTGTGGTGATGGTGATTGGTAGTGGTGGTTGTTGTTGTTGTTGGTGGAGGTGGTGGTTTGATGGTGGTGGTTTTGGTGGTGGTGATTGGTTATGTTGTTGTTGGTGGTGGTGGTGATTGGTGGTGATGGTGATGGTGGGAGTTTATTTGTGGTTGATCTTCAGTGCATGACCACGGCCGCCTTTATATACGCGAACCACAGATGGACCTTGTAAGTGACTTGGCAAGACGTAAATCATATGAAATTACTATACATGGTTGGGTTTACATCACTACACTTCTGATCTAGCAGGAGAAAATTGATAAACGAGGGCAGTAAAAAGTGTCATCACATGCATCGGGATTTGGGTGGGTGAGCGGACACCCAAGCTAGTTTCATTTTTTGTTTCGTATTCCGTCAACATGTTCACAAATAGTGATTGCGAAGCTACGCCTGATAACCTGTAATACATAACGACGATGGTGGAAGCGATGTGCTGCTCGTTGATACTCAAGAGCATGTATACTTCTTCTTTTTATTCGTACTGATGCGATCAACTCTGTTGCATATTTAAAATACATCTCAACTTGCTTCCATAGGCATTCCAAAAAGGAATACTGCCAACGAGTACACTGATGAATAGCCGATCAGCAATAAATAGATGTTGAAAATGCACCTGGATAAAGTGATATCTTTTGTCCGTACACGAGTAGGCTTTCTATCTATCCCAACATTATCGTATGGGGGAACGGGAACGGTGGGTTAACTGAATGTCCTTTAACAGACTTTAACGATTCACGATAACTGCAAAATTAGCTTAAATTAGCTGTTTTGTTGTTTTACACCTCGACCACTGAAACTCACGGAGGAGAAATTTGTTGGCATTTTTTTAATTGTGAAGTTGACTCTCATTATCGTAACTCATCTAGAACTTGCAACTACTATTAATATCATTCCCAAGGCTCAATCCGTAAAATACCGAAGAATTACAGCGAACAGAACTACCCTGTTGCGAAGTACTTCCATGTCAAGGTCAAAGTTTTACTATGCAAAAACTTACAAGCTCATGCTTTTCTCATCCCATAGGTTCGTGTCGTGTTTTAAAAGACAGTGATGCATGCAATTCCTGGTGTAAAATGTCACATGATACGGGATTCTTCCACTACTGCCCGCAGCTTCACTCGATGTTGGAATGTAAGGTGTGCTAATGTTTCATCGAGTCTCACTTTGAAAGATTCAATACTTGGTGCACAAACGACGTGGGTCGGGATAGAGTTCCAGATCGAACACACTCTGACTGCGAATGACTGACGTCGGCATTCGGCACTTTGAGACCACCAGCTTGAACGGTGAAAATTTTAGCAGCCGGTGACACAGATGTCTTGGGTTTCGCATTATTTAGTATACCATAATATTATCTCCTCTAATGTTCCGGTAGTGATCGGATTATAAACCCAGGGACTTAAATCTCTCTGCGTAAGAATAGCGATTCAACTCCTAAGCATTTTGGTGGCCATCCTATGTTAACGCTCCAGCATTTTTCAATCACGTTGAAGCCATGGATCCCATGTCTAAATAGCGTACTCTGTGAGTGGGCGAATGTATGCTAATAGTCGACGGGGAATTGGCGCTGATTAAAACTGGCCAAATATCCACTTAGGCAAACCGACATTATTTACAGCTGCGTTCGTGACCTTGACGCACTTGAGTGAGTAGCCTAAAGTTTCTTGAATGAGTATGCCCAGGTCTTTCTCACTTGAGGAGTGTAGCAGTGGTTTATTTCTGAGGAAATAACAAAATCGCCCCTTGCATAGTATAGATAGAACCCGACTTTTTGGCGCATTGAATTCAATATCGTTCCAAAGAGACCAGAGATGAGCTGCATTCAGTCCTTTTCTTGAAGTGCCAATGATCCCGGTGGTTGAGTTACTGTATTCCAAATTTTGGCGTCATCTGCGAACAGTAATGATTTTAAACCTAGAGCCTTTGGTTGGTCGTTTATGAATGTTAGGTAAAGTCGCGGGTCAAGCGAAGATCCTTGTGGAACCCCACAGGTAACGTCCATAGGACTGGAAAACGAATCAGAAACACGAACCTATACGGTCCGATGTCGGAGAAATGTTTCGATCCAATGAAGCATGGGGCCCTGAATACCGTGATTATAGAGTTTCCGCGCAGGAGAATGTCATGGTTCACCCGATCGAACGCTTTTGAGAAGTCTAAATAAATAACGTCTACCGCATCACTGTCATCAAAATGTTTTTTTTTGTCCATTCTTCTCGTGCGATCAGCAAATCGGTAGGATCGCAAGATCGCTTCTGTCGGAATCCATATTGATTTGGTGACAAAACATTGTGCTTCTCTTGGTGTTCCGTCAGAGAATCTGTCACTATGGACTACGTGACTTTGAACAACACGGGAGGGAGGGTTACGGGATGGGCAAGGCAAATACCTTAGACGTCAAGTGCCAGATCGGTATGAATACTAAATATGATTTCTTCTATGCCTTGCTGTATCGTCTAGAGCGTTCCGTGACTGCATTTCAACATGGCAATTCATTTTTCGAAATCCTACGATTTATTTAATAAGATAATAATTATTGAAAAATTGTTGAAAATCGAATTTGAATAATTCTCATGGTGATATTTCATTTTCACCCTCATTTCGGATCGCGAACTTGCTCATCAACACAGACAATCGAGTTTTATGGCATGACTCAAATCACATTCCCAAATCTCGTCCCGTGCGACACGTTCGGCCCACATCATTTGATGCTCAAATCATATCCACCACTCAGGCACCCAAATCGAGCCTACTCTACAGTCTAATGAGTCTTCGAGCTCCTCAATTGTTCCGACGAAATGCACTTACTGTGGCCTGGGCTCAACGGATTCAACAACGCGCATTTCTACGATTGGCCAATCTGACCGCGTTTGTCGAGGTGCAAAAACTGGTCTCCGGTTTCGCAGATTTGCAACACGAATTGGAAAAAACCACAACCCAGTTGCACATACTTCAATCCCATTTGTGGTCCGATGAACGTGTTATATTGCAAGTGAGATTTTCGAGACCCCGTCACGTGGTTTTTGCACACTTTTTGAGCATCGCTTAGCTGTAGTATGTGTGTGTGTCACAAGATTTCGCTGTACCTTCTCGATCAAATTAACGTATCTGTCCCGTTGATTTTTTTCCTGTTACACACCTTTGCGTGATCAACACAGGACTCGGTGTACCCCTAAATTCAAGAAGATATGCCGTTCACTTACCGGTAACGTGATTCCCGGGACTTCAAGTAGTGAACCCACAAGATTAAACATTGTATTCTACCGGATAACAGTGACGCCGTTCACCATCACCACCACCACCACCACCACGATATTTGAACATTTTGTTTCAGTTCAGGAGAAAGTGTATGAGGTAATCCTGGTGCTCCGTGGAGCAATTCTGATCGTGAACAAATATTCCACAGCTATCGACTTCCAAGTTATGTTTCGATGATTTTGTTGTTACAAGCTCAGTTGCTCTCCGTACTCCAACTTAAAGCAGAGAATGCCTTGTAAATAAGGAATACTCCCGGAAAATGATTACTAGATTATCGCAAACACCATAAGACTAACAATGTGATTATTGGAAAAGTCTGTGTGAAGGGTGGGAAATTCGATGTTTATAATGCAGTAAACAGAGACAGACAGACAGACAGACAGACAGACAGACAGACAGACAGACAGGAAAACCTTGAGTTACAAAAGTTATTTTGCGAATAAAACCCTAATAAGCTATCTCATGCATTCTGACATCATTCGTGCATCTTGAGAAGAAAGCGTAAGCAACTGATCGCAATACTGAAGCCAGTTACTTTGAATCCTCTGTAGCATATCAAACCACAGTTTTGAAAAATCAATTTGGTATTTAATCTTTCCCAAACGGAAAACTCTTCTTTGATACCCAAAACTCAACAATAGGTTAATGTCAGACAGGTTTCAGTACCCGGTTTAAATCCAAAGGGTTATGATGATGGTTGTTTTGTTTTATTTTATACGTATTATATATACTTGAGCCCTATTTATCAATGGGTTTCCTAATACTAGACAGATAAATAATCCAAGGAGAAAATTTCTCTGAATAAAATAAGTAGGTCCACGGTTCTTGCCACTTATCAAGTGGGTGCTTTTTCTAGTTTACCGACTGTAGAAGCTTGTGACCCGCAAACGTGATTTAGTTTGAAGTTAAAGTAAGCTTTCCATCTTTATGGAATATCAATGTATGGAGCATCAATTTTCAGTGCAGGCTGAGTTGTGGCTTTGGGCACCATCAACGTGTTTGGTAGCTTAGTTATGTGGTTGCGTCAGATGAAAGAATGCAGAGGCCTACGGTAGAACATCATCGATCCTTCAGATTTTCTCTTCTATTTTTCACATTTTCGTCAAGGAAATGGGTTCAATACATGCAGGCGACTGTCTATTCCACATTCCTAATTTTAGTCCGATAAAGAACGTTTAGGACCTAATAAGTGTGTGTACGTATAACGCACTTTAGTCTAACTATACAAATAACAAACTGAAAAAACTTATTGTTAGTGAATAACGGAAAGTGAAGATGAACACTATGCCCGGACGCTGTATGCTACTATTTCCAATTATTGGATTTTTCATTTACTCTAATGTGATTGGTTTCGCTGTGCATCTGAAATAACCTTCAAAGTGGTTTACATCTATTCCGAGTATAGCGCGCAAGAGCACCGTGAGCGCGTTTCACGTTTTGTGAACCATAACAACTGAATTTGGCCCGCCCTGCTTGACCGATGCCAAACGCACGGTATAGACAAGCTCAGTGAAAAGAGGTTCAACAGGGGTTAGGGATCGGGACTATCTAGAAGATGTGAGCAATATAACTGTGCACACACACACACGCCTGTTCAAAAAGATACCAAGTAACACCAAAAAGCCCTTCAATATCACTTGGCTGTATTGTTTTTCAGTGTCCCCAGGTGCATCCCCAGTTACGTGGTTTCTTTGATCCCACCCTGGATGATGATAGACACCTAAACCAGCCAATTGTTCTTTTAACTTCTTCCTGCCTCGAGTCCGTATCATCTATTGATCTTCAATTGAATGGTCTCACGATAGATTTCCAGGTTTATTTGACCTTACATAAATCATTATAAAACGCCCGAATATATCACATTTGCTGTAATTCTGTTGATCGAGTTGGCGACAAGCGCCGAAATTGAAATTTCCTAAAATGGTGCCTTCCAAATAATTAACTGTGTTCATCGTTTACTTCACAAATTTTTGATTGCCTTAGCAGAACACTTCAGGATATTCTACGGAAAAATACTACTGTTGTGAGATACTACTCACATGTGTGAGTAGTACGAAAAAGGATGCAGATGGTGGTTTCTCTCAACAGATGAGCAAGACTTCTTAGAGCAAATTGCTGCGTTCAAAATGATTACTACAGTTTGTTTCATTCATTATCCTCTGTGCTGCCGGAAATTGCCGTGGCATGTTCCAAATGAGATATCTTGTTATATGCACGTCTAAGTATCCTCATCTTAACTCTGGTTCGCCTTAAGTAACCCTCCTCAAACCAGCACCACTCTTCTGGAAGTATAGCACTACTAGTCTCCCCAAAAATATATATTTTATGGGTTGTCGACAAATATGCACTTTTAATCGATGACCGAACTGCATACCTGTTTCATCTACAATAATCAACACAGGACAATCAGGTTTTATTTGCGATTCGACCGATCTGATTTCAATCTCCCTCCAGTTTCTTCGTGCTCTCTCTCTCAGTCATCCCTATTTTTTTGTTTAGTGAGGCGAGAGTACGTCAACTTTCCAAAAATAGTCAATATTTTGTTTACAGATGTAAGTGTACATGCACACTCACAGGGGCAGGCACAACTAGCTAACCAGCTGTCTGTCGTTCAGTCTGTTCCGTTTTTTTTTTATTTACACTGGCCAAACTGACACTCGAGTGGTTTGAATGGCCCCACTACAACTGGGCCACTTTTCTCAAATATTCCATGCTGTTCCCTAAGGTTATTATTCAGTTGTCTGGCTACCAGTCCAATCGTCACGTCAGTGTCTTTCGGTACTTTTGTAACAAATAATGGGGTCCAAACAATTGTTTTTCATCCATATTCATAATCAAACCTCCCGCCCCCTCCCTCGGAAAAAAATATATTTTGATATAGTTTATCCACCTGTTTTCAGTGCATAGACAACTCTCCCCTTGTGTCGGGAAGAAACCAATAGGAACTATTTGTTACATGTAAAACGGGAATTTTAAGGATACTTGAGAGAACAAGTTGAGTGACATAATGGAGAAAACACTTGTACTTGCTGAATAATCAATTGAGAAAATAAAGAAATTAAACTGCTCTCGGATACCCTGGAAAATTTCGGACCCCATTTTACAGTCAACGTGTTGAATCCGGTCAGAAGCAGACCGGGTATTTTTAGATAAAACCACTATATTGTCAGCTGACTCTTGCCTGGCCCTCTCGGGCTCTGTGTGCTATGCACCACCGAACATTTCCGGTTTCCGTGAGATTCATTCATTGCATTCACAAATCAGATTATTAGTGACGATGACATTATCGATATCTGTTCGGCGAAGTGCAAAATTTAATCGCACTACAATGCAATCCAGTGTGTGAAGTAAATAAACATCTCGTTGGTTTCTGATCAGTCTATGACGTTTGTCTCGCAAGACGCGCACTGTTATTCAGTACTATTTCGAATGTGATATTAAATACTTCGGGAAGTTTTAATGGATGCTAATATTTATGGAACCTTTCACATTGAACATATCGTCACTACACTTTGGCGATTTTCTTTTCATATTCGTAAACTTTTCCTGTTCCGTATTCAATTATCGATTATTTCCAAAATAGTGTACCGGTGTGTTTTCCCGTTTTAAGTTTTTGTTCACCTGTTCTCTTTTCCGATCTCCTAAATGGAATATTTAAACTGTATCTATGCGTGGACTGACGACCTCTCTCCCTGATTTGTATGTACGGTTTATGTCTACAGAAGTTATTATAGCTACAATAGCAATGTGAATGAGTCAAGTGCTTTCTTATTTGATTGGACAGATTCGGTTTGGCCTTGTGGAGATACGTACATCAGCAAGCTGTTCCCGGGACAGTGATGATGGTGGCCCGGTGGTGGTGGAATTTGATTCGTGTTCCGTTAGGAATGTGTGTGAGAAATGTCGGGAATGGGCGTTGTAGCATGCAATGTTGATATCGAACCGCGTATCAGATAAGTTCCTTCTCTAGGACATTCAATGAATTAGCTCAAACAATGTTTGCGCCTGTATTGTGAAGTTCCTCACGGAAACTGACTGGTATGTAAGAGTCATAGAGTTTATCATATTGTTCTAACGTAGCCAGGATCGGGGTTTGAGCAGACCTCTTCTGCCTGAACCACAAGAGACACCGTTCTTCAGTAAGGCTGCTAAATTCAGAACGTTGAAGTTATACCGGATAATTTAGAATATCAAATTGTTTATGTGCACTCGGTGACGAGTTGGGTGAACAAGAAAAACTGCGAAAATTGAGATAAGGGAACAAAATGAATCTATCCGACTATTGCAGTAGGAGACATGATGCGGAGCTTGTAGGATGTTGAGAATGTATGTTTAAATCATGCATACAAATACGATTATGTAATAAATCAATAATAAATATTTTCCTTCCTTTGTTATTTATTAAACACGAAGATTTACAGTCAGATTTCACGGAAACGACGGTTGCCTTATAAAGGCTGTTCAAATAAATGCATAATTAAAGAAGAGAGATAGCGCGGGGTGATGTTCGAACTTGGTACCTACAGAACGTTATGATTATGACTTTATTCATATGACAACTGCCGACAACAAAACAAATGTAAGCGTTGAATATATGCGACTATGAATAAAGTACAGTTGTGTTGAGTTAAATGTGACTGCATAATTGGATACTGGTTTAACTGTTGCCAATGCGTGCGAACAAACAGCTTTGATTAATTGGAAGAATTTGTTCTCCGCAGTCATGAAGTGAGC